TTTAAAAGGACTGATCTCAAAGTTCAGAGACACAAATCCAAGCAAGGGAGATGGGAATGTGCAAACTCTGTGCACGAAAATGGGAAGTGAATCCCAAATACCGGCAAGGGAGGGTGGAACTCTCTTGAAACTGACATGACTATTTTGAAATTGAGAGCAGTGTTTCCACAGAAACACACACCATTGCTCTGAAGTTTGGTAAACTTTTCGTCTGAGCAGAGACAGTCTGTCTGGAAAAGTATCCATTTCACAAATCTGCATGAACCTCCAAGAACTGCTTGAAAGTTCCTGGCAAGTTCGTGCCGATTGATCTGCCACAAACTTCAGTTCACAAACCATGAACTGGCCAAAATTTGTTACTAACTTAAGTTTGTGAGCAGGTTCATGTCCATCCCTATCTATAGGAGGAAGGCAAACTGGCTAGAAAGCACCTGTCCCATACACTAGCAAAGAAGTCTTGGTTCTGAAGTTTATTTCATCCACACAAGAGCAAGGGTCATGCAGGAGAGATGGGAGTGGTGAGTGGTGGTAAAGATCCACTTCCTTGAATGTTTTTCATTTGTAGAAGTTAAGATCCAGCCATATGGTCTTGTGTTTAGAAAATTGTGCTTAAAATATATGTATGGTATGGGTATATTCGAAGATCCTGGTTGGTTGGTTGTTCCCTATGGTATGCTATCAAATGGAAAAACATATTTACCCAACTTAATGTATGAAGCAACCTTAAGGCTTTATCTGCTATGATAGGAAATATGGGAATGGAGCCTAAGGGATTTTAAAAATATAACAGTTCAGTTTTATCAGAAAAAGGGAAGATATTACAGTGATGTAACATTATGATTACATTTTCCATTTAAGACATACAAAACACTAATGGCATGCAAATAGTGGTGGAACTGTCTGCAGGGTAGATTGGTTTGTCCAGCAGCATGCATCAGCTGATTTTTTTAAAAAAATTCCAGTAGTGATTGCCAGTGTCTTATGTTTGAAAGGATCCTTGATCATAGCTTTGATTTTTATGGGGCCATCAGTTGGATATTGAAGTTGGATACTGAAGCAGTTAGGTGAAGAGATGAAGATGAATGTTGATCCAGCATCAGTTCCAGAGAAAATGTTCAAAACAGTATTTAGTCTTTAGTGAGAGAGAAGCATACAGGATGGGTTTAATAAATAAGGTTTTATTTCCTCAGTATTGCCATAGTAGGCCCTTATTATGCTGCCAGCAGAGAATGCATTTGATGAAGTACGTTGATTCATGTAAATTCATGCTGCAATAAATGTTGTTAATCTGTAAAGTGTCTCTGGATTTCTGTTTTATTTAGGAGTATCACTGCTGAGTAAGGGTTTATATAGTATATCTTGCATCCTACAGTGTCGTAACACAGTTCAGCATGATAAAGCAGTGGGGTACCACAGGGATCAGTACTTGGTCTGATGCTTTTTAATTTGTTTATTAATGATTTGGAGTTGGGCGTGAAGTGAAGTGGCTAAATTTGCAGATGACATGAAGTTGTTCAGGGTGGTGAGAACCAGGGAGGATTGTGAGGCACTCCAAAGGGATTTGTCGAGGATGGGCGAGTGGGCGTCAACGTGGCAAATGGGGTTCAGTGTGGCCAAGTGCAAAGTGATGGACATTGGAGCAAAAAATCCTAACTATAAATACACATTGATGGGGTCCAAACTGGCAGAGACTGACCAAGAGAGAGATCTTGGAGTCCTAGTAGATAACTCAATGAAAATGTCTACATGGTGTGCGACTGCAAAAAAAAAGGCCAACACTATGTTCGGGATTATTAGGAAGGGAATTGAAAACAAATCAGTCAGTATCATAAAAGGTAAAGGTAAAGGTTTCCCTTGCTCGAAAGCCAGTCGAATCCGACTCTAGCGATGTGTTCATCTCTGTTTCCAAGCCGAAGAGCCAGCGCTGTCCGAAGACGTTTCTGTGGTCATGTGGCCGGCATGACTAGACCCTGAGGTACACAGAACGCTGTTACCTTCCCACCGAATTGGTAGCTATTTATCTACTTGCAATTTCTTGCTTTCAAATAATGCCCCTGTATAATGCTTTCGAATAATGCCTCTGTATAAATCGATGGTAGAACCTCATTTGGAGTACTGTGTACAGTTCTGGTCACCACACCTCAAAAAATATATTATAGCATTGGAAAAACTGCAGAAAAAGGTAACTAGAATTATCAAAGGGTTAGAACACTTTCCTTATAAAGAAAAGTTAAAGCACTTGGGGCTCTTTAGCTTGGAGAAATGACGGCTGAGGGGTGACATGATCGAGGTTTATAAAATTACTAGCCTGCTACCCATGCTTTGCTATGGTATTTAAGTTCCGTAAATCCAGTTATAATACTGATGATGTAAAATTTGAAATATGACATTTGTTGTAAGAATTCTAACAGAGAAGACTGTAGTGTAAGAAATGAAGTGAGGCGTACGTACTTTTTTTCTCCACTGAAGGGCCTCTCTGTAGATCACATTGGTGGTTCTGCCCCAGGTGCTAGGATCACCAGGCTGCTTGGTGAGCTCACTCTGGAGCAGGCCACATAGAACTGTCCATTTAAGAAGCAGTCGTTCATTAAGTCAACTCCTGCTACCTTCCACAAAAGTGATGGCCTCTCTACGTGTGTTCCTGGATTGCTTTGCTCATATGGAGACTGTGTTGTTCTGAGCACCTCAGGGTGATCTTGCTGGTACTTGGCCTGCGCAGCTCAGTGCACTGCAGGAATACTATGTGCAGATGTCTTTGCTGCATTCCTATGTTGCCTTCTCCTTATAGCGTTGGTGTATGTGGCTTGACATTTGCCAGGAGCTTTCTTGGGGGCAGTAAGAGATGAGAGGTGTGAAGGGGAGTTGGTGTGAGGGTGTGGTGATGTGGTCGACATTTCTTCAGGTTCATGAGGGAGGCACGCATTGAAATGGCTACTAGAAATGTCCTTTACTATCTCCCCATAAAAATTCATACCCTGGCCCTGCTCCTACACCTGACAGACACCAGCCTGTCTGGTGTTGGGGGGGATTGTATTTAAAGGCATCGGGGAGGCTGGGCCAGCAGCACTGCTAAGTCAATCCTGTTCAGCAAACCTCCCCAGCGGCTGTAAGCATCCCACCTCCTCTCCTACACCTGACAGGCAGCTGCCTGTCCAGTGTAGGAGGGGAAGGGGGGAGTATTAGAAGCCACTGTGGAGGCAGGGCTGGCATGATCACTAAGGTGTTACTGCTGGGGCAGGCTCCCTCGTGGCTTTAAGCATCCTGTAACCACTGCTGCACCTGACAGATACCCCACCTGTTAGGTGTAGGAGGTGGGGGGAGTGTGTTGAAAGCCATCCCACCACCTCTCCTACACCTGACAGGCAGCTGCCTGTTCAGTGTAGGAGGGGAGGGGGAGTATTAGAAGCCACTGTGGATGTGGGGCTGCACCTGGCAGACAACTGCCTATTAGGTGTAGAAGGTGGGGGAGTGTGTTGAAAGCCACCCCACCTGCTCTCACAATACTTTCCTTTCTCACAATACAAGAACTCATGGGCACTCAATGAAAGTGCCAAGCAGTTGGGTTAGAACAGATAAAAGGAAGTATTTCTTCACCCAAGGAGTGCTTAACACATGGAATTCACCGCCACAGGAGGTGGCGGTGGCTACAAGCATGGATGGCTTCAAGAGGGAATTACTTAAAGATATGGAGCCCTGCTCCCCAACTGTATCCAAGGCTACTAACATGGTGCTTCTGTAAATCAGATAACCGTATGACTGAGTAACGTGAGTTCCTGAAAGTCTGTGTAATTCCTGCTTGGTCAGGTTCCTGGGGCATAACAGCCTGGTGGGAAATACACAAATGCAATTGACCACCTGCTTCATAGGAAAACTGACTTGTGAAGCCTTCTTGAAGTGAGAACATTTGGTATAAATGTTTGTTTGCTCTATTTTAATTTTTGCTGGTGAAAAGGTCTATGACTATGCCTGGAGAGACCTACATAGTTTTGGGCTAGAAGCAATCAACCATTCTTCATATGAAATCTTTCAAAGAATCAGTCATTCCTGGTTTATACCTGTTCCATTTATTCCAGACTTTTTGGACAATGTTCCTTAGGGCAGCATTCTTAGCATTATTCTTTTTTCCACCAAGATTAATCATACCACCATGTCATTACCATCCCCTGCCTCCAACAGTCTATATATGGATGGCTTCCAGATATGTTGTAAATCCCCTAGCATGCAATTTATAGAAAGGCAACTGCAGCAAGCCCTTGACCATATATATTGATAGGCAATACTAAATGGTTACAGGTTTTCCTAACCTAAGGCCAAGTTCAGACTAGCAGTTTGCCCCAATATACGCACCTTTCAGAAACGTTCCACAACCGGATTAAATGGGCTGTTCACACAGGCACATCTGTCAGGCATTCCCCACCCGTACTCAACCCGTCTTGTAACGCTTCGCTCCCGAGTCTAAAAGATACCTGGTGAAAGTGGTAGCAAACCCTGGAAAGTGTGATTATCCCACGTCCATCCTGCACCAACAAAGTGTGAACGCCAAAAGCCGCAGTTTTGCTTATGCATAATTCCGGATTACCAAAAAGAAAGCCACACCTTACACCCTGATGATGATGATGATGATGATGTAAGGTGCATGCTGTCAGGGAAGGCAAGCGCTGAGTCCTGAGTACTAGCAGGAGTGGTGCCACAGCCAAAGGAAGCACTGATGGAGGGCTATATAACTCCCACTCAGGATCAGGGTTCCCATGGAATCAATGGGAACGGTGGCGCAGGCTGTTAATGCAGCCTGCCTTAACATCTGGCCGAACATCTGTTCGAGCCCCACCGTGGCCGGAGTGAGCTCCCGGCCTGCGTCCCAGCTCCTGCCCACCCAGCGGTTCAAAAGCCCGTTAAAGGGCGAGTAGATGAATGGGAACCTACCCTTAGTAGGGTAGGGGCACCCCCCTCGTCCGAGGAGTGTGGTGTGCGGCGGCGGCAGCAGCGAAGGAACAATAACAATGGCGACAACGGCGGCGGTGACGGTGGATCCTGGCGGCAGAGACGAGGCGGCGCGGCGGAACAGCGAGAGCCAGTGGAGCGATCCCTGGTGGCCTGCGGAGTTCCAACAGAAAGCGGCCGGCGTGAGCAGCAGAAGGTGCGGATGACGTCATCTCCCGGCACGGCGGAGCCTATCGGACGGAGCCAAGGCCGGGAGAGACGAACTCACACACCGAGACGGCTGCCTCGCTGGAGAAGAACTGCGCCGGAGAGAGGAGCGTCCTGCCGACCGAAGGAGCCAAGGAAGCCGAAGCCGGAGACCAGAAGGAAAGAGCCGCCACCACCGGGGTGCTAGGTAGGCTGACCCAACCCCTGAGAATGTGCCCATAGTTAGGGATCCATAAAAGTGATTAGCACTACAAAGTTGTAAACCGCCCAGAGACCCCCATTGGGCAGTATATAAATAGAAGGTTAAATAAATAAATAAATAAATAAAATAAGTCTCCTCTGTGTGGACTTCACATCCACTTCTGGCTCCTGTTTTCAGACTCCGCTCTTGTTTGGATCTCCTGACTTCCTGACCTCTGCTTCGAATGACCACTCTCTCGGACTCGTGATTCAGCTCTCACTCTGACTTCCCTGGCTATGACCTTGGACGGGACCTGACCTCTGCCTCTCAGCCCAGCCCAGCCCATGACAGCTAGCCATTCAGATATGTCCAACTCATGTCCAACTCTTGGTGATTCTATGGACCAGCTCTCTCCATGTTTTCCAATCTTGTACTGTTTCTTTGAGTTGTTCCATGCTCAGGCTGGTGTCAACTTTTATGGTGTCTACCCACCGTGTTCTTTGGTGGCTTGGTTTCCTTTTGCTGCTAACCAATCCAAGCATAATTGCTTTTTCTAGCGTGTTCTTCCACATGACATGGCTTGTATGGGAGTTCTCTCTAACTACCTAGACCGTCTGTCAAATCCTTCTCCAGTATCCTTTGTTAGTATAAGGTGGTTCTGTAGCTTTTTTGACTGAGAAACTAAAGTTCTCCCTCAGAGCGATTTTAATATATCTAATGGAGTTTCTCCTCATCCCTTTGTAGAAGTACTTTTCTGACTATTGTCCAAATGTCTCTTCCCTCAGAAGCCACCCTCTGGCTACTGATTCAGACGTTAGTTTTCAAATTGCAAAAGACCCTCCAGATCACTTTCTCTCTCAGCTGATTCTGGCCAATCAGAGCATGAGCGGAGCAGCCAATCACCTAAGCTCTTCTCTCCAGGGAAGATTACCTCATGAACTCCCTACTTCAATCCGTATACAGAATATATCATAAGTAAAGCTTGATTAGATGTAGATGAAAGTGGAGTGAAAATTGGTGGAGGGAACATTAACAGTTTGAGATATGCAGATGATACCATATTATTGAAAACTCGAAATGACTACTGATGAAGGTTAAAACAGAAAATGCTAAAGCAGGATTACAGCTGAACATCAAGAAGAAAAAAGTAATGATTACTGGGGAATTACAAATTTTAGGGTAGACAATGAAGAAATGTTGGGAAAAGTTGAAGGCAGCAGGAAAAGAGGGAGACCAAATTGTGATGGATTGATTCCATCAAGAAAGCCACAACCCTCAGTTTGCAAGACCTGAGAATGGCTGTGATAGGACATTTCGGAGGACATTAATTATAGGGTTTCCATAAATTGGCAGTGACTTGGTAGCACTTAATTAATTTATTTATTATTTCAATTTATACCCCGCCCTCCCCGCAAGCACCATTAATACACACATATTGATGAAGTCATCTTTGGGAAATGCACCCAGGCCACGTAGGGGTTGTATTCAAAGAAATTTAGGGAATTGGTTCACATCCACAATCTGAGAAATAAGCAATTGTTATTAGAATAAGAGAGCTAAGACCTCTGAAGGAAAAAACATTAGCCCTCCAAGGCCTTCCCACACCAAACCTCAGTTGTGTGAACTGTTAGAGCTCACAGGCTGCTACAGCAGATTCATGCCAGCATATGCCTCCATCACAGCACCATTATCAGTCCTTCCCTGGAAAGTAATGTCTCCCTTGGACTCCTCAGTGCCAAGCGGCATTCAACTGCATACTTTGTATCCTTTCTCAATGCCCTATATTGTGTGGCCTTTTCCAAACCATTCCAGCTCTGCACTTTTCCAAACCATTCCAGCTCTGGGGCTAGGCTTAGGGACAATGTTAGCCCAGGATCAGAAAGGTGCAGAACATCCTATTTTTTCCTTAGTAGAAAGGTTCCTTCCTGAAAATGAGTTTACTCAATCCTAGAGAAGGAAGCCTTTGCTGTAAAGTGGGTGGTGTCCTCTCTCCAAAATTATCTGCAATCAGTTTATTCTGATCACGGCCCATGAGCTACTGGCTCAAAGACACTAGGGTACCAGAATGACCAAGGTCAGCATTAGATGTTGGCTCTCCCACTCAAGTGATTCACTGTCCAACAAGAAGAACCAGGAGACAGGAAGAACCAGGAAGAAGACTGGGAAAGGAAGAAGGCAAGAAAGTAAAGAAACAGCAGCTGAAAAGGGCAGAGAAGGAAGAGGGCTCTGGCTGGAGGCTGAGGAAGATGATCTGACAGAAGTCATCTCACATAGGCCAGACTTAACCTATGGAAGACTTAACCTATGGAAGGGAATGACACTCTCTGATGCTGAGACCTCCCTGACTCTACAAGCTTCCTGTTGAGGAGTACCACACAGTGACTATAAGCTAGAATAGAGAATAAAATGTAGTTAGATGGCCACTGGACGTATGGGTCTTTCTGCATCCCCAAGAATGCTCACATGCTCATAAAGATTATTTGTGATCTTCAGTTGGTGCATAAGGTGATGGTCCATCTTTTAAAAGGTCTCAAACAAACCCCTAAATGGTCCAGCATACCTTCAGGGAAGTCCTCTTCCCATGTGAACACTTCAGGTGTTTAAACCTTGCTGTGATCTAATTGTTAAAATTGTCATCTGTGCACTGAGTTATAAACTAGTTTCTCGTTCAGCATTCTTCATGCTGATCATACCATTACAGAACTCTCTTCCTAAGGAGGACCACCAAAACCCTGACTTGAAGATTTTTGGCAGGCACTGCATTTGGTTTTTTTGTTTGTTTTTTGCTAAGGAAGATTTTTATGAATCAAAATGAAGTAGGGTATTTTGTTTTTGTGTGTGTGTTGTTGTTGTTTTTTAACTTTAACATTAGGAAATTGGGTTGCTCCACTTTCTCCTTATGGGTATTGGTTTAAATTTTCTAAAATTTTAAGAAGTTTTCTATATGTTCCATTATTAAATCCTTTCTTTAATCAGTGGCAAACCATATGGAGCTCTTGGAAATGAACTAGATAAATAAATAAATGATGCATGCTATAAGAAATTCAGCCTTTAATGTCCTATGTAGGTGGCAATATTTTTTTCCAGTGCTAATAAGTACTTCCTAGCTTGCAAGCACAAACTGTCTCCATGGACATCAATACTGCAATGTCAAATTGTACCTGTCTTTTGTATGTAGATAAATGCAGGCAACACCCACCCACTCCACCATTTGTTCATGTCATATACTCATCAGGCAGAGCAGAAAATAAGGGGGAGAAAGGAGGATGTCCTCCTTTTCATTTGTTAGAGCTCGTAGTAGAAGAAAATATGTTCTGTTAGTGAAACATAATGTTCATTGTTGATGCAAAAAAAAATTCCATCCATATTATTTTCTCCTTTTAATCAAACTCCAGTTTGACACCAAGATTATTGCTAGGTAAGAAGCAGAAGTAAACAAAATCAGTGCACTCTTATATTTGCCTATAACAACTCTGTGCACTCGTCCACACTGTTAACTCAAAGGCTGACTGCCTCTGCATATGGAGGTTCCTCTCAGTCGCCATCTCTAGTAGCCACTGATAGACCTATCCTCCATGAATCTGTCTAAATTCCCTTTTTAAAGCTGTCTATGTCTGTGGCCATCTTCCGGCAGTGAATTGTCTGTCCTGAACCTATTGCCCATCATCTGCATTGGATGCCCTCAAGTTCTAGTATTTTGGGAAAGGGAGAAAATATTCTTTTTGTTAACTGTCTCTACCCCATGCATAATTTTATAAACCTCTATCAATTTTATAAGCCTTTAGTCATCTCGTTTCTAAAGTGAAAAGTCCCAGATTCTTCAGCTGTTCTTCATAGGGAAGGGACTCCAACCCTCTAATCATCTTGGTTGCCTTCTTCTGTGCTTTTTCCAGCTCTGCAATGTCCTTTCTGAGATACAGTGACCAGAACGATACATAGTATTCCAAATGAGGCCGTACCACAGATCTATACAAGTGTGTTATAATATCAGCCATTTTGTTTTCAATCCCTTTCCTAATAATTCCTAACATAAAGTTTGCCTTTTTCATCACTTCAGCACACTGGGTTGACATTTTCATGGAGTTATCTACTAGGACCCTGAGATCTTTTTCCCTCTCAGTTTCACCATGTTCAGACCACATTAGCCTATATTTGAAGATGGGATTTTTTTGTTCCAGTGTTAGCCTGATTGCTCTGAGTTGTTATCAATATTGGGGAATATGAAATGTTGTAAAATAGCAATAGGCAATAAGGGAACAAATACCTTTATATACAGGTGTCCCGCTTCTTCCAGAAACACCAATAATAGACATGGAGGCTGGTTTCCAATATAAAATTATTCCTTTACTGTAGATTCTTCACAAACAAACAATACACAAGCACACACACACACAGCTTCTAAGAAAATCAGATGGAAAATCAAGAGACGTTCGCATGAGCAGGATATTGTTGAGGGGCAATAGTTACCTGTCCGGCGTGATGATATGTCCAAATGGAAAAATAGGAGAGACTAATAAGAAATAGGGATCATGTTCTGAACTGGTCAGAAACACGTGGAGACTTTGGCTGCAGTCCAAAAGTCTTAGAGGCAGGGTAAGTTTAAAGAGCAAGAGAGGGGTCTAGAGAGGGCAAAAGAGAGAGAGAGCCAGCGCGTTGCTGGGTGTCCACTTTTGTATGGGGGCTCTGGGGAAGGGCGTTGCTGGCCACCTCCCTTGAGACAACCCCTGGTGGTCCGTTCCAAAAGTCACATCCGCAATGGG